TGACGGGAGGCCTGAAGCAGCTGTACATGCGCAAGCTGCTGCCGCTGGAGGAGCACTACCGCTTCCACGACTTCCACTCGCCCGCGCTGGAGGAGGCCGACTTCGAGAACAAGCCAATGGTGCTGCTCGTGGGGCAGTACAGCACGGGCAAGACCACCTTCATCCGGTGAGACACCCCGCACGGGCTCGGGCACGGGCACGGGCACGGGCACCGGCACCCAACCCCCTTCCGCGCGGGAGCATCTCTTGACTGGGTGAATATCGCATTTACGGGATATTCCCCGCCCACACGCAGGCCCAGGGAGATGGGTACTTGTGCACACGCAGGCCCGTAGAGACAGGCAGGTGTGAGCAGGCGCACACACATCCATGCAGACACAGGCAGGCGTGCATACCCCCTACATAGACACAGACGTATGGATAAGGTCCTTGTTGTGTCCCCATCTGCCCCACCCTTACCTGATAAAGGCCCCAGTAGCTGGATTACATGCTGGTGACTCCCCACCTCAGGGGCAGCAATTGAAGTAGCCTACCAAAGAGAAAACCTCTCTTAACTCCTTAGTCTGGAAGATGCCACCCTGCCCTGACTTCATAGGAACAAAAGCTGACAGCCTCTCTCCCCTTCAAAGAGGAAGCGCTTTCTCTTGCCTCCATTTCATTGTAGATGTCCCTGCCCCCATTATCTCCCCCTCCATGGTAAAGATCTTCTTTCTGCGACTCACCTGCTAACTGATCTTCCAGCCACTCCTGGTCCTCTCCAATGAAAAATTAAGTAGCAAATGTCACACCCCAAGACAAATATACTTCAGTTTTGCTACAGTAACACACCCGTTAACCTTGAGCAGTAACTCACTTCAAGTAAATTTAACCAGGGATAGCCAAGAGGCCTGTCACTAGTTGAAGCCTGCAGGGAAGATAAGCATATTAGAGACTAATTCAGAGGTTTGCAGCCTTCTTTAGTCTGAGTACCCCCAGCACCTGGATGCAGGGGGGGGGAGTGGCACGTGGCCAAACACAGAGTGGGGAGGCAGGGATAGTGCGCAGGGCAGGCAGGGATGGAGCGCCACCACCACCTCCCAGGAGCAGGGCCCGGGCAGGACAGGAGCAGAGGCACCCCTCTGCGGGGCAGGGAAGCTTGCACGCGGCCCTGGCCCTGGCCCTGGGAGGCAGCAGTGCTCCATCTCCACCCACCTGCGCATGCCCCTTAGAACCGTTCCAAATACCCCCAGGGGTACATGTACCCCCAGTTGACAACCCCTGGACTAACTAACATGTATAGCACAAGCTTTTGTGACCTTGAATTCACGATAGTTTGTGCTTGATAAATATCTTATTTAGTTAGCCTACAGGGTGCATATCTTACATGCCTTCTGCCTCATTTCATATTAACATGGCGAACTCTCTCTCACTAGTTGGTGACATGAACCTTGACAAAATAAAACATTTCTACCTGGTTTGAAATTATGCACAGTTTGATATTTACCCTTAAAAAAAATAAACCTGGTATGTATAGTATAGAATGGATAGCTAGGCTAAGGACAGATGTTACACACGAACTGGATTAAGCGATCAGAAATTGGTTTAAAGCTGTAACAGAACAGAAGTTCAGTGACAAACTGGTTTTGGCCGTTTTGAAAGTAATTTAAGAAAAACCTCATTGGATGTAGTATCGAACTTAACTGATTTAGATCAGACCAGTTTATGGTTCTTCTGTCCCAGATCCCCTCCCAATTCAAGTTAACTCTCAGTCCTCCAGCATCCCAGGATGTTTTGTTGTACTGTACTGTCTGCTGCATTAGAACAGTGTCTGTCCTGCCCTTCTGCTCCATCATCGGAGTAATATCAGTGCTCTGCCTGGCAGAAAATGGGGTGGGGGGAAAAACCCTAGCACCAGACCCCAGCTGGAGTCTGCCTGGTGGGGGGGAGGGAAGAAGGGAAGCCCTCAGAGGTTTGCGTGTGTCCTTCCCCCTGCCCCCTCCCCAGCTGAACAGAGATGTGGGAGAGGTGGGGCAAGCCTCTGAGGGCTTACCCTCCCACCCCCACCACACAGATCCCAGATGGGGTTGCCAGGGTGGGGGTTTAAACCCCTCCACACATGTACTCAGGCCCTTGCTACCCCCCACCCCTTTCTGCTTGATTGCGGGGGGAAGGGGACCTCTGAGGGTTTCCCTCCCAACTTCCCTCCCTTCCTTTCTGCAGTGGCCGGCAGGTTGGGAGGTGTGCTCTTTTGCCCCCCAGTTACTGGTATGGGCCACTGCAGGGGTCTGGTTGCCTTTCTGGTTTCAAAACGAATGCCTGTTCACTTGCTTATTGGTTCAATCTATGCAGTTTAGACTAAGCTGCAAAGATTGACTCAATTCAGCCTCTGGCTTTTTGACTGTTTGTCTAGTGTCCTAGAGCTATAAAGCAAGTATCACTGGTTTATAGGGGTGCACCAGTAGAGATTTTGGGGGCTGATACTGATGGCCAATATGCCTCCTTAAATGTCAGCTGATACCAATCCGATTTCCGATACAGCTGCGTCCAGCTGGTAAATCTGTTGTGGTGAAAGGGGTTGGGGAGGGAAGGGATGTGGGGGGGGGCACATCAATGTCCCCTGCGGTGAGGGAAGGAGTGGGGCTGGGGCTAGGTTAGGCACTGCTCAGCCAGGGCAAGCATGAGCCACAGCTCTTCTAGGGGGCGCAGGGAAGGGTGGGGGGCAGCTCCTGCCACTTGTCCGCTCATCTGGCAGCTCCCGCTGCTCGTCTGGGAGGTCACAGTGGGGCAGGGAATGCCCCCAGATCTGCATGGGGCAGGCTGGGTGGATTGCAGCTGTGGGCTTGGCTGTGCTCAGGGTGGGCAGCAACAACGCTGAGAGAAGAGCTTGTGGGGGGCCTGAAGCCACCCCAAATTTCTCTGTAGCCTCCCCGTAGTCCCCTCCCAGTCCCGCTGCTGTTGCTGCAGCCTGGCACCAGCCCACGCAGATCTGGGGGCACCCCCCTCCCCTCACCCGTGCCCTCCCAGACAAGCAGTGGGAGCTGCCGGATGAGTGGCATACAGCGGCGGAAACCACTCCCTGGATGAGCTGCAGCTTCATCCCATGCCTGCTCCGCCCCAGCTGGGCAACACCTACCCCAGCCCCACTCCCTCTCTCACTGCAGGGGCTGTTGATCTGCCCCCCACGCCCGTTCCCTCCCTCCTCCCCTTCTACCACAACAGACTTACCAGCTGCATGCAGCACTCCACACTGCTGGGCTGTGCTCCTTGCTGCCTGCGTGCTGCACTGTGACTGCGCACGTGTACGGGCATTTATCAGCCAAATTATTGGCCACTTCAGGCCGATTTTCAGTATAGTCAATTTTCTTTATATTGGTGCCAATCTGATATCAGACCAATGTATTGGTGCACCTCTGCTGGTTTATCAGAGAGTCAGAAAACTTGCCTTTAATCATTGGCATGTTAATTTTTCTGCAGTCAGGTTATTTCCTCTTCCTTATCCCTGTATCCGGGAATGAAGATTTCCTGAATGTTGCATAATATTGTATTTAGAATTGATGTATAGAAGTAAGTTTTTAAAAATACACTGTGGTTTTCTTTTCACCTTTCTGTTTTTGGAATGCTATCTCACACTTTCATGGAGTATGTCTTATTTTTACTAATTTTAAATTTTTCTGTCTAATAAGTTTCAGTGAAACATGGTTATGAGTTAATATAGTGTATGACTGCATCAGCTTTCATCCCTCTGCTCTCACAGGCTTCAAGGGCCTGTAACCACCTCAGTTACAGACTTCTATCTCCTATCTTGCTCAATCTCCTTCTCCCCTGTACACTTTAGAATACATGGGGGTTGGGGAGAAAGGGACTTAATGGTGGGGGTCTACTACAGACCACCCAACCAAGGAGAAGAGACCAGAAATTCTTAAGTCAGCTTACAGAGATAGTTGGGTCCAAGGATGTGGTCGTCATGGATGACCTAAACTTTCCAGACATCTGCTGGGAGGAGCAGACAGCCAGGTCTGACTGCTCACGCAGGTTCTTAACTGACATACAGGACCTCCATCTAACCCAGGAGGTACACAGCCCCACCAAAGGAGATGCCTTTTTGGATTTGGTCCTGGCCACAGGCAATGACCTGGTACGGGGTCTGTGGGTGCTCAATCACCTAGGCAATAGCGATTATTGTCTGCTGAAATTCATCATCCAGCGCAAGGTGGCAAAAGCCTCCAGCAAGGCAGCAGCCCTCGACTTCAGGAGGGAGGACTTTAATGAGGTAAGAAGACTAGTGGGGGAAGCACTGAGGTCCCAGAGCTGGAGGGAGTTGAGTGTCCAGGAGGAGTGGTCGCTCCTTAAGGATATGATCCTCCAAGCT